TTTAAACGAATGAGAAACATTCGATTTTTCAACGCAACTACCTTTTTTCGTTATTTGTACAAACACAGACGCTTCCAAATACACTTAGCAGATGCAGCGGAAAAAACTCCATCTAGTCAGCACATTTCGAAGCGTCTGTGCGACGAGCTCTATCGAACTATGTAAAGATGTTCAAGAAAAAATGTTTATTCTGTATTGGAATGACTGGCGTCTTATCTTTCTACCCCAAAAAAGTGTGTGTGTAATTTCTAAAACTTTCTTAAGTTCGACACTAAAATGCTTCGATAAAACTTACTATTTAGCATCAATAAATCCCGTTTTCGATGGGCTTTCATCTGGTATAAAATTCATTACTTACCCTCCCAAGCGTCAAAAAAAAATCTAGTATCGCCCGATTCATCTAGATTACCAGATTTTTACTCAATTGCAACTACTGTGTAACGACAGTGGAAATCTAGTAATTGGGCGATTGCTAGATTTTTTCAAGTTGCAACTATCGATTTATCGCCCGATAATCGATCGATTTAACTACTGCTAGTCGCACGTGCAGACGCATCTAGTTAAAAGTCCCTTTTCCAACTAGTAATCTAGATGGCAACTAGTCGTGTATCGCCCGATTACAGACGAAATATATCTAGATTTTTCCCATAGGTGATATTTGCTTGGGAACCGCGGTGAACTCGTCTAATTCATTGACAATGCAATTGTCTTTTCTCTTAATACGTTAGAATTTTATAAATGAACTACTTTGGTAATATACTACGTATATATTCTCAACTTAGTTGAGAGAAAAGTTGCAGAAAAGTAGTCTCAAGGACTGGGCGCATAGTACAGATCAAATCAAGTCTTCAAGACTTGAGCTTTTTTATAACTAAGAAATGATTGTAAAACATATTTATTTATTACATAAATCGGAGTTCTGATAAGTAATAAGATACAATAACACATATTTGATATTATATGTTGGTTTGTTACTTTAGTTGTGTACGGTGTTAATACGGGTTTTGGTAATTTTGCACAAACTGTTATTCCTGAAGAACAACTTCAGTAAAATATCGAACATCTGATTCAAACTCAAATTTAAATTATTTGTAAATTTTTAGGGATTTACAAACACGTTTAATTACATCTCATTGTGCGGGTGTTGGTGAGCCATTATCAATCGAACGTGCTCGTATGATGTTCGCTCTGAGAATAAATATATTAGCGAAAGGTTATTCTGGCATAAGCAGAGAAACGTTAGAAAAAATAATAGCTGCATTTAATAGTACGCATAACATAAACATAAAAATGAATTTATTTTTATGTATATATCTGTTGATTATATAGAATCTTGTATTCCCGAAATCCCCCAACAAGGAACTGTAGGAGCATCTGGTGACTTGGCCCCTCTAGCACATTTAGCCGCTGGTTTAATGGGTACTGGACGGTAAGCTAAATTCTTCTTTTTTTTTGACATAAAAATACATTAATAGGACTGTTTTAGTATGTGGAGTCCACAAACAGGATGGTCAACAGCAGAAGACGTTCTGACAAGAAATGGTTTGAGTAAAGTTGTGTATAAACCAAAAGAAGGCCTAGCAATGATTAATGGTACTCAATTTATAACAGCTTTAGGCGCTGAAGGTGAGTCACTCATCCACCATCGTAACATATTTGTGAATTTTCATTTTTTCGCCTTTCAGCTGTCGAAAGATCCATAATGTTAGCCCGCCAAGCTGATGTAATTGCTTCTTTAACGATAGAAGCTCTGAGGGGCTCTGTGAGAGCGTTTGATCCAAGTAAGTTAGAATTTCTCTTCATTTAACTTAAAACTATTATAAATAATGGTTGAAAATTTTAGATATTCATTTGGCGAGACCTCATCTTGGACAAATACTTGTAGCCAAACGTCTAAGATCGCTGCTAGCATCACCATTACATCCATCAGAAATATCTGATAGTCATGAAAACTGTGGAAAAGTTCAAGATGCTTATTCTTTACGATGTATTCCGCAAGTACACGGAATCAGTTGGGACACAATAATGTTTGTTCATGATTTAATTACTACTGAAATGAATAGTGCCACTGATAATCCAGTAAGTCAGTTACTTCTTCTAAATATTTTAACGTATAAAACATTCGAAGTGCATTTATTCTTTTAGTTAGTTATATTAGAAACAAATGATATTATTTCTGGAGGAAACTTTCACGGAGAATATCCTGCAAAGGTAGGATCGAAAGATTTTGTATGTAATTTACTTTAGATTATGCAATTGAATTTTAGGCTCTCGACTATTTGGGAATTGCCATACATGAACTTGCGAGCATTAGCGAATGTCGAATGGAGAGGTTACTAAACAAAACAAGTAGTGATTTACCAGCTTTTCTAACGACAGGTAAATAAAATGCATTAATAATAGAAATTAATGGTAGTGTGTGAATTTCAATATATGCTTTTTAGACGGTGGCTTAAATTCTGGTTTTATGATTGCTCATTGTACAGCTGCAGCTTTAGTTTCTGAAAATAAAGTTTTATGTCATCCTTCATCGGTTGATAGTATACCAACAAGTGCAGGACAAGAAGATCATGTGTCAATGGGAGGTTGGTCCGCTCGAAAAGCTTTACATATTGTGGATAATGTTGAAAAAGGTTAGTTTAATACAGAAATAATCGATACGAAAGGATCCAATGTGTTTTTATTTATTTCAAATTTAGTATTGGCCATTGAATTATTAATGGCATGTCAAGGACTCGATTTATTGAAGCTGACAACAACTGAACCGTTGGAAGCAGTTAAAACTGTTGTAAGACAATCCGTAAAGTAATAGACACTCTTATTTAAAGAATTTACAAATCTAAGTTATCCTTTCTTTTGAAAACTAGAACATGGGATAAAGATCGCTTCATGACACACGATATAGAAGCAGCAATAAAAATTATCAAGTCAGGAGTGGTACATATTATTCATATAATCTAAAGATATAAAAATATCACTATTTCTAATGTTTCTTAAACCTCTAGATATGGCACACGGTTGAACCATTCGTACAAAACTATAGTAATTGGTGTACTAAAAATAATGAAATGGTGAACAATCATCATGAAAATCATCATGAAAATCATCATGAAAATCATTGATGCATACAAGCAAGTCTCTGCGAACTCTCTATGATGATGAAAGCTCAAAAAATATTACATTATAAATACATTCGAAGCCGAAGGGAGCAGAGATTCTTAAATTAGGACATGTTTACTGGGATTCACAAAAAATAAAATCTTTTTCTGTTCAAGTTAAATATAATAACGAAAAAGTTGTTAGAGAGATTGGTGAGGATCTATGATAATATTTTTATATATTTCTTCTGTTCTTTACTATAAATCAACTGCATCCTTTTTTTTTTGCATTTGTCAAATGTTATTATCTTTTTTCCTCTGGTGCAACTATCACTTCTTCTGTTAGTCAATATAAACATACAGTGAAATTGATTATAAACCCGAAAAATGAAAATAAATGTTTTTCTCTTTTCTCTCTGTGAAATATCTTTTTAATAAAGCGGTGAATATTAGTTCAGCGTTCACATATTTTATTGATTTTTAAAATCATGCTTATTGAAAAATGTTCCATGACGTAGTTATTATTATAATTTCATTCAGCTTTCTATCACAGACGTTGTCGAAAAATTATTCATCTAGTGAAAGAAATCGCGCACGCATTACAGAAATGTATCGACATAATATGCTTACTAGACCAAAAGTGAATTTAGATACCCCAGATAATCTTACTACAATTGCTATTGGGTTAGGTATTTTAGAACTCAGTGGCATTGACGCCCAAACACAGGTATGTTTTTATATGAGTATCCGTTCTTTTTCGAGATTTCTCAAAAACAACTTTATCGCAGAGTAGCCAGAGTTTAAGACAGTGTTTCGATGAGGATGACTTAATTTTGACACAAAATATTATTCGATTTCTATGTTAAAATGTCACAATTACTCTCATTTCTTGCAGAAAACGTGCTTTTGGTAGAAAATATCAGAAAAAAACCATCCAAGTCTATATGAATACAAAAATCTTGAATGAAGTGTCACTCAGTGACAGCGCTAATTATAACTAATAGCGGCGTTTTTTCTTAATAAAATACATTTTTTCCAGAACGATTGACTAAAGCTTTTGAGCTTAAAATTTTGGCAAACATTCAGCGTTATGAAACAAAAAAGATAAAGAACCTAACGATGAAGTTAAGATCATTTCAAAAAATATGATCAAAAAGCTCGATGTGATGAAACATTTTGTGTAAAATGCAGTAATACTTCCATTTTTGGCAAGAAGAAAGGAAATCTAAAATTTTCTTTTGTTACTGAAACATTGTTGTTAACATTGGTCTACATACTGTCTACTTTCGATTAATTTCAAGTTGCCAATTCACTTTGCTACTTTTGTGGGCTGTTAGCGCGGGACAGAAAAGTTGCACTAGTTAGAAAGAAGAGAATTAAAACATAACGGGTGTCCCAGAATAAATGAGGGTCTCAGTATTTTACTTATAACTTGGTTTTTGGATTTGTTTCCGAGACTCAATGTTTTTTTAAATGATGTGCTACGAAATACTCTACAAAATCATACCTAAACTATAATTTCAGAACTTCAATCAAGAAAACTAAGTCAACTAGATGAAAGTCGAAAAAAATGAAAACTTTCCAAAATCAAAAATGATTTGTTGTGTTAACATTTTGAAAGTAAGAAAAACTAAATTAGCCGTTTTGTAGCTCTGACTTCGCTCTACTTTTTAGCTACACTTCTACTTTTTTCACATCAAAAGCTACGGCGAAATGATAGTCTTTCTGCCGGTTGTCATGCATTTTTTCATTAATATTTTAAATTTTGGGTATAGTAGTGTTTTCAGTAAAAGTCCCATAACTCCATCAAAATAAAAGCTCTTTCGGTCAGGTTTGTTTTGTTTTGATCAGAAATGATTGCTCTTCTCTATCTAATTGCAAAACCAAAACTTCAATCATGTTTTGCTTGCCTTACTTGAGCACATTGTTGGAAACGAGGAGGTTGTCAGCTTTTGACGTATTTTTGTAACTTCGTACTCCAGCACACCATTTGTTCTAAAAAAATTTGTTTACAGACCACGAGAAAGAGCACATTTGAAAGTACCAAACATAAACTAAGTTCTCACTTTTTAGCGAAAATAGTAGCAGAAGAAAAAGTTCAAGACGAAAAACATTTTGATTTTGGAAAGTTTTCAGTTTTTCGACTTTCATCTAATTGACTTAGTTTTCTTGATTGAAGTTCTGAAATTATAGTTTAGGTATGATTTTGTAGAGTATTTCGCAGCGCATCGTTTAAAAAAACATCGAGTCTCGGAAAAAAATTCAAATTAAGTTATAAGTAAAATACTGAGACCCTCATTTATTCTGGGACACCCGTTATTTCGTGTTTAAGTTACAAGAGTCGTTCAAAACCTATGAACGTGACAATACAAGTATTATATTTTTGGAACGAGAGTAGTTAGAAAACCGATTATTTCAGAAGTGTAAGAACAAAATAAAAATATTCGAGAAGTTCATTCACGAGGAAACAGTTATTAATTTTTTACTCAAGAGATTGAAACAGTGTAATGGTCCTATATTTTACCCATATAAACATGTCAATCTCAAATTGGAAAAAAAATTACATTTTTACTTCAGAAAAGGGAGAAATGTGTTCTAAAATATATTTTGGTACGTGGACAGAGATGATGTTCGATAATCTATTCTTGTTTATTATTACAGGTAATAACAATGAATGTCAATTTTGAATTAAGATGGTGTGATTCATTATTGATATGGAATACATCCGAATATCCGTGTATTTTATCTCCTGATAAACAAAATTCACAAATATTTTTTAATGCTAAAGAAATTTGGACTCCCGATATAACACCGATAAATTCACCAGCAACATTAGCTAAAGATCAAAAATTAAATTATCCTGTTTTATCCGTATGTAGTGATAATATTCGCTGGAATTATCCTGAAAAATTACAGACATTCTGTGAAATTAATGTTAAATATTTTCCATTTGATCGTCAACGATGTTCAATATTACTTCAATCAACAATTTATGATTCAAGTCAAATGAAATTAAAAACATTATACAATTTTGTTCGTTTATACAACTATATAAAAACTGAATATAGTATTATTGATGCATCAATTCATGAAATTGATTTGTACAATATGTATCATAAACGAAATTTTAGTACACTAAGAATTGATATTGAATTAGAAAGATTTTCAAGATTTTATACATTTAAAATTGTTTTACCCTATTTTATTATATCATCATTAGCTTTATTTTCTTTTTGTTTACCAATTGATACTGGTGAAAAAGTTACATTAACAGTAAGTGTATTACTTTCATTAACTATTTATCTTCAGTTAATATCAGATTATGTTCCAAAAACAGAACAAGGCGTATGTACTTTAACACTATATTGTAATTTTGTTTTTATATTAGTTTTTCTTTCTTGTGTATGTAATACATTTATAATATTTGTCTATTATACAACATCTAATACAGAACGACGTTTTATTTTATTAAAAACGGGTAAGATGAAGAAGAAGAAGACGATGAAAAAGAAGAAAAAAAGACGACAAGATAATAATGGAAATATGATGTCAACAATATATAAATCGATAATAAATTTGAATAGACAACGGATGAAAATGAATGAGACAAAAACTGACATCATAGAAAATGAAGATAATATAAATGCGATTGAATTATTAAACGATATTAAATATTTAAAAGAAATTTTGACACATATGTATAAACAAACATGTTCAACAACAACAACCGAATATAATCAAATAAATATTATAGAACAATATGATTATTTTCAAATAAGACAAAAATCTAGAATAGATAATAATAAAACAGAATTTAATACATATCTTACAAAACATTTTTCCTATAAACAATTAGCCATTATACTTGATAGAATATTATTTATTATTTATTTAATAATTATGTCATTAACCGGTATTCTATTTCTAAATGTTCAACATTCAAGATCATATGCACTTAATGGAAATAGAACAAGTCAACTATATGATTTAAGAAAAAAGTCAACGGCAATACCATTACCATTATTTCGAGGATGTCCCAAATAAAATATATTTTAGTTTTATTTATTTATAGGAATTATTTTTTTCTGATCATTCTAAAATAAAACATATTAAGGTAAACTAAACATTTAGCACAAATTATATTTACTATTTTGAATAAAGTCGAAAAAAATAATAAACGTCAAAATCAAAAAGAAATAAAAAATATATAACAAATTGTACTAAAAAAAAGAAAAGATAAAAAAAGAATTCTTTTAATTTGACTTTAAAACTACCATCTGCTGATATTGCTATTTGCTATAATACATATAATATGTGAGATCTATCTATTATACACTTAATAATGGATATTTTTCATGTATATATGTACGCATGGGCCAATGAATACCATCTGAGAATGGTCGATGAGTTGATGGTAATAAATTTTTATAAAGAATATCGTAGAAATGATGAAAACCTAAAAATAATTGCCAATTCGTTTTAAATCCTAAATTATAAGGATTTTGAAAATTTAATTTTAATTCTTTTAAACGTTTTCTTTCAACAGAATTAACATGATATTCGATTGTTGTTTCTTTAAAACAAAAAAACAATTGACTTAATAAATTATCATTGTAATTTATTATTTTTCTTGTTCATATTTTTTACCTGCTCTTGAGATTAACCAAAAATGCCATAATGTAAAAAAAAATAATATCAAACAGGCTGATGCACAAACAATAAATAAATATAACATTGTAAAATGCATCGATGGATTATTAAACGATGATAATAGATCATTTTCGACAATACGTTTACCAAGTACTAAATCAAGATAAGAATAATATTTTTCTCCAAACATGTGATGTTGATATTCAGTAAAACCGAGTGTTGCTGTGTAAAATGAACCCAATGTCATGAAAAAACAAAATTGAAAAAAATAACGATGATTTAAATGTCCTACACAATTATTAACCTAAAATTAAATAAATTTTTTAAATTAGAAAAAGAGCAAAGAAGTTAAACAATATTACCCAAGGACAATGGTGATCTTGATTGAGAATGCAGTGATTGCAAACACTACAATGATGTGCTCGAGCCGGTTTTGGCAAAATACATTTTCGACAAACATCATGACAATAGAAATTTTTACTTTGAATTTGAAATTGTTTATTGTAGACTAAGAATGAATCGGACAATTTTAATGTGGATGATTCTAACATCAATAAAACATCCTTAGTATTATTACTATCATCATGTTCTCTTAACTGATTATAATTGGATTCTAAAAAAACAACAACTACGAAACATAATTGATCATTGATAATAACATTAACAATCTATGCATAAGTTTTGCAAAAAAATGTCGACCGCTGTTTCTTTATGTTCACACTATTCTGGAGATTTCACTTTTTTTGTTTGTTTGAAAGAGCAACGTCCGAACGACAAAATATACATCAGACAAAATTTTCTCTCACAAAACTTTATTGAGAAAAAAATTCAAAAATTAAATATCACTAAAAATGTTCTAGTAAAATTTTACTAAAATATATCAAGAAAATCTTTTCAATGATGTCAAAAATAATCACTTTTTACTGGAACCAAATACATGAAAAACTCCGATCTCCTTAAAAATTTTCAAGTTTCTTTTCAGTGGTTTTCTGAAAACATTTTCTAAAAGTGAGCTTTTTTGAAAATCGAGATTTTGCATCTAACATTTAGAGCTTTCAGCAGAGGCATCGCATAAAACAGGAAATAAATGAGATTTGATTTGATTTTACATAAGATTGTTAAAAACTGAATAAAGAACAAGATTTAGTTCAAAAATTGGAAAAAAATTCATCCATTAATTCAAGAATTGGCAATTAATGCTGACGAATTGACTTTCTAACGGTGACCAGATAAGTGATTACTTCTTCACGAAAATCAAATAAAAAGAAAATCTATTGTACACTGTTCGAAAGAGCGTTTCAAACACTCTTAGATGTAATAATCAGTCATTTTTCAAACTTATCTTTAAACAAGGAAAGAACCGTTTCGAAGAAGATAGAGAACGCACATTTTGAACAATTTACCAGAACATGTTCAGTGATCTTTAGTTTTTGAAAGTCAATAAAGTTTTGTGAGAGAAAATTTTGTTTGATGCCTATTTTGTCATTCGGACGTTGCTCTTTCAAACAAACAAAAAAGTAAATCTACAGAATAGTGTGAACATGAAGAAACATAAGTTTTGCAAAACTTATGCATAGGCCGTTATATCAGATTGCGTACAAGTTATCAATGACGTATATATATATATATATACGTTGATCCTATTTACGCCAGGTACATACCATGTCTATTATTGTAATATTTATCATCTGTATTTTTGTCATTTTTTTTTGATAATTGTATTATTGTTGTTAGATTTGAAATATTATTGTTATTATCACTGTTATTATGGTCATGTTTACTAGAACTATCTTTATTTGTTAATGTAAAATTGCATGATTTTGATTTACCAAAATTTGATGATGAACCTGGATCTGTTCTTACCACTTGTATATAGTTAAATAGAATATTGATTAATAACCAATGTCCAAAAATGAAATGAAATAAAAACATGAAAAATGTATGTTGTTCTTTATCAAAATAGATATGTTGAAATATACAAAAATAGAATACATATGTTATTGCAGCAATAATACATAAGAAAAGACAGATAAATAAACGTCCAAGATATTTTGCTAAATGATCTGTTAAGGAAAATAATGGTTGGAATATTGTGTCAATTTTTAAGTCTGTTGAATCTACAATAAAAAACATGCTGAATTATATTCCATCATGTTATTAAATTCTTTTATCTTACCATCAATATTGTAGCAAAAGATGTGATAGATTAATTTCAAATGTTCACATTTTGGTCGATAAGTTGATAAACAGAATGATACAGATATTCGATTAGCGACAGATGCACAACCATAACGAAACAGACGATAGATTAGCATAATGTCAACTTATTGTATATCATTTACCACATATTTTCTAGAATAAAAAAACAAAGCAATCACTTTGATCAGCATATCATCGATAAATCGAGTTTCTGTTGAAAATTTCCCAAAAGAAATTTTTTCTAAATCCTTTGATGATCTAATTTACATATTACATAGTTCTCTATCAACTAACATATGATATAAATAATGAGGTAATGAAGTACAGAACTGCTATAAACATGATTAACTAATCATAATGTATTTATTTCATTGATATTTCGACAGAATCCACTGTCATCATCAGAATGAAAAAAGTGTAAATGAGTGTGTCAAATTTGAAACTATACATAGTCAAATATAGAGTGCAAAAGGAAAAAAGAGGGAA